CTATGCATATTAAAAAGTACCAGGATGTTCGACATGAATTTGATGTGCATATCGAGATTTTTCGATAACACTATAAATATATAATTTGAGTATTTCTATAATAACGAAATAGCGATTATCAAATTGAGTTTAGAATTGCTTGAGCTTACAATAGAAAATATAGAACTAACTACATACACGATTGCAGATAATTGTGTCGATGAATTATCGCCACTTACACGGTTAAGTAAACGGTCATGACGACAACAATCATAAAGAATACTGCATATAAGTCTATGTAGGAAGTAAGAACTAAATTCTTTCCGCGAGATATATAAACGGTCATGACGACAACAATCATAAAGAATACTGCATATAAGTCTATGTAGGAAGTAGGAACTAAATTCTTTCCGCGAGATATATAATTAATTTATATTCTTATACATATATTATCATTATCATCTGTTATTTTCGTAGTCTGATACTCTGATGTAAATCAGACAACCACTCTTTGCGCATATTTGTCTCCGTCTATAAAAATATTCATAACCATTAGCGTGATGGTAAGAAGTAGGAACAAGGGCAAATTGGTAAAGATAATATTAAAATTAAACAAGATCAGAGCTGCCCGAAGCCGGTTTTAACGACCTTTAACCAACTTTCTGTCTTTAGGACCATTTTATATTTAACATTTTTATTCAAAATTATTTCTAGTCATCGAGGGGTTTCCCAAGATTCCAATTTCACGGTCCAATGCTATTTTTGGAATATTTTATCTCAGCTCACGATATGATTCAACTTTTACTTGTTTGGTTAATATCACTAACTAATTTTTTATTTTTTTATAATCCAGGTGTCCGATCCCACCAAAATGATCCGACTAGCGTCGTATCCAAACGAAGCTGACGTGGTCCTGGAAGCCTGCAGCCGCCATGTGAATTCTGCAATGGCCATGAATCGAACCCAGTTGGCGGTATCCCTAGCTGGAGGCCCTTTACCACTAGGAGACAACTCCTAGTTAAAATAAGTTGTTTCAACATCACTAACTAAAATTTTACTGATGCATAAATGATTGAGTTAATAATTAATGATAAAATGATGCAATAAAATCATTTATATGAAAGTTGGCCAATTTTTTCTATATGTATAACACGTTAGCATCTAAGAGAGTATCACATATGCAAATAGAATTTAAACTCAAAACTTAAAGTTAAGATTTATCTTCCATTAATCAATGCACTTTTAACATTTAGATTTCAGATTATCATGACCCTTAAACTTTCCTTCTGTCATTTTAAAATATCAACTTTTCATAAGCCATCATTCTCAAAGCTAAAATAGTTTTTAGACTCCATTACCTCATAGCTAGCTTTATATGCACCAAATAGTTGAAGGTAAGTTTATCAAGGAGTTTGTAAGCTCTATTTTACGTACATTAATATTGTTCTAGCACTTAACTGAACAAAATGCATAAGGAAAAAAAGAAAACATGAATAGATTGTTGTTCATTTTTGTTGTTCATTCATTCCTTACCAAAAAAAAAAAACAACGTCATTCATTTTTGTTCTTACACCTTCTTATCCATACAAAATACAAAATTGTATGTATATATGTTGTAGTTAAATTGAACAAAGTGATTGATTGTTGGTTCTATGTGGCAAATAGTAGTTTCATGAATTGGCTTGCATACATGAAGCTGAGTTCTTGGGTTTAGAGACAAAGTTAGCAGAAAGTTTAATAGAAACACAACCCATGAACAATATTATTCTTTTTTCTGGTTATAGATGAGGTTCAAATTATTTTAGTGAAAGAGAAAACTTGTGATGTTGATTTACCTCAAACTAAAGCGCACCAGTAAAAAAACAAATCCTTCGACATATGGCAATATTGACAATAATATAAGCACGTATCTCACATTCATGAACTTTGTTTATTTTGAATTCTCTTAATTCTCTCACAAACTTAAGAACTCTATTTTCATGTATAATTTGGACTTGTGAATTTTATGAAATTTATTAATTATACGATATAAAATTTAATAGTTTTTTAATTTCATATAAAAATAATTTCAAAAATCTACACGTTTTTAGAATGAATGAAAAAGTAAAAATAATACTGTAAAACATCAAATCTAAATATAAGCCCACACATAATGTGGGAATTTACCTAGTATAAAAAAATATAAGCACCCAAACGTATGTGTTTAGTAGTTGATGGAACGATGGCTCAAAAGATATGGCGTAGATTCGTAATATTTTTTCTAGGTTTGTATCCCATTAAAAACAAAATTCATATGTTTTAAATTAGGGAAAATCACATTTTTAACCCTCAAAGTATCACTGCATAACACTTTAAACCTTGAAAGAATTTCACTAACAATATAAACTACAAAGATAATTTTACTAACATTTTAAACCTCCAAACTAGCTTTTTTGTTTACACCGCCAAAAAAAATGATGGAAAAATTAACTCATATTTATTTAATACAAGTTATTTAATTTAATTTAAATTTAATTTAATTTTATTATTTATTACAATTAAGAAAAATCTTAAGAAACAAAAAAAATTCATTTTCCTCTTTCACTCACCGTCCGACTATGAAATTTTATGATAAAATTCTGAAACTAGAAACTAAAGCACAAAATTTTTTTAAAGTAGAATAATATAAACCAAATATATACTAATGTAGAATCTAAGGTACGAGAGAAGCTTAAAATAGAGTAAAAAAAACCAAAGAATGTCGAATCTTAGCCAGAAAACGAAGTATTCTCCGTATCGGAGAATCTATTGGGAGATTGATCCAAAAACATTTTCACTCTCTACGGTGGATAAATTGGGATCTCATAATACTAATTGCAATAAACAGATGGTGAAAACATATAATAAACTGAATAAAAATCTGAAAATTTTGTGGCCTAACGGTGAGTAGTCGAAGATGATGAAGTTTTTTTTTTTACTTTTTACTTTTTTTAATCGTAAAATTGTTATAAATAGTAAAATTAATTAAAAAAACTAAATAAATTAATATTACACAAACATAAATTAATTTTTTGTTATTTTTTATGGCGGTGCAAACAGATAAACTAGTTTAGAAGTTTAAAGTGTTAGTAAAATTATTTTAGTGGTTTATAGTGTTAGAGAAAGTCTTTAGAGGTTTAAAGTGCTACCTAATGATATTTTGAAAGTTAAAAATGTGATTTTCCCTTTTAAATTATGTCAAAAAAAACCAGTGAATAAAATGTTTTGGCTGTCATGCTCACCATAAGATTACTCGGCTTCGTCCAAATAACGGAGTATCAACTATCAAGTGCTTTAAAATTAGTCATATGCATTATATTTTTTTTTATTGTAAATGTTTTAGATAGCAAAAGATGATTGATATTTACGTGTTTAAAGGTTAATGTAGATTCTGTGATTTATTCAGTTATCTAAAATAAAATAAAAATATACATAGACATGGTATAATGTTTTTTTTGAACACCAGACATGGTATAACTCATCCTCTATATGCATTATTGGATGTTACACTTACACATATTAAGAAAGAAATGTGTATAGCAAACATTAATATATAGATGATATTGTAGATGTATAAATCGCATTTAAACTCCGTAAAATTAATTTTCTTTATATTTTGTTTTAATAGCACTAGAAATTTAACAAGAGACTAGATGTTAACCCGCGGTACACCGCGGGCCTATATTTTTGTTAAATAGATTTTTGTATTTTTATTTTAAGGCTTTTCTTTAACATATATGATATTTTTTATTTAAATAAATATATAGATATTGTATATGAATGTTGTTACGTAACAAAAAAATAAAATGTGTATTTGGAATTTGACCCGCGGTGTACTGCAAGTTTATGTTTTTTTCATGTTTAATATAATTTACTAAAAAATATATTATATTGGATAAAACATAAAATTTTTAGATTTGTTTAGTTTTGTAAAACAATATAAAGATATTTATAATTTTATTTGATTTGATCATTTTCAGTATAAGTTTAGACCCGTAGGTTAATATTTTGTTTTACATATAGTATTGTTATATTTACTTTAATATTGTGCATATAATAAAATACTAAATCGGTATTTCACAAATTTAGTTTTACTATCGCAAAGTTAACATCGTTGATAAATATGAATCATAGAATTAAATTTGATTTAGTCAATATTCGAATAAACTTGTATAGTTGTATACTTGTATGTAACTTCATTTCTCTATATATGTAACATGACACATCCTTTTTAGTCAACCTAAGACTTATCATTTGTTGAGGTTAAATTGTTAGAAGTAAAAATACATATAGTATAATAAAACCATACAATGATCTTTTATTAATTTTTCTGTCTTTTTCGATCCATTCTTGACATCAGTTGCTCTAATGTTAATGTTTTTAAAAACTTGGAAGATGAGAACTAATCAAAACGGGAAGATCCTACATATTTTTCTTTTCCTGCAAGAAATTAAAGAAAATTTATTAAAGATCTTAGATATTATATTTGTTGAAATCAAAATCAGAAAGAAAAGCATACATAGAAAACATTAAACATGAAAATTAAAAAAAACATATATTATGCAAATAATAACAAAACTTCCACCTTATAAAAATCGTATTTATTAAAAATTGTTTATAAGATTTTTTTAAAATAACAAAATTCATTATTCTTCGCACCTCCCAAAAAAAAAAAATTGGACATTAAAAAAAACATATCTAATGATAAAACATTAAAACCATAAGAACAAACCTTTGATTTTATGAAATATTTTTTACCTATATTTTAGAAATCTAATTCTTCTAAATTGCTTTCGGACTCCGTATACAGAGATCTCCCGATGGAGTTTTCCAAAGATCTCGGTAGAACAAATATTTTTAAAATAACGTTATTTATTTAAAAATAAACTAAAAATGAAAAAAAATAATAAGAGTAGTTTTGAATGCCCAAAAAAAGTGTTAAAAATTAGATTAAGAAAATCAAGTACTTATTGAAATGTTAATCGTCACCACGATGTTCATGACGAAGATGATAGTCTTTTTTAGTTTAGCTCGTTAAGAAATCTGTAGCACAACTAAAAATAGGTAGAGATTAGCAAGATTTTAGTAAAGTTTAATTATGAGATTATTTACATATGATGAATCTAAAACCCAGTTTGACCATAAACAAAAACGAAAAAGAAAACATACTTTTCGATGCACTGATCCCACTCTTATTTGCCATGAATGGCCGCTTACAATTGAACTGCAAAAAACAATACAAAATATATATTAGTGATACATATTGTGAAGAAATCTAGAATTTTCTAGTTGTAGAGAATTGAAAAGAAGAAAAAAACTAAAAACAAATGAGGTGTTTTTTCTATGTGAACGCTTGTATTTATATACTGAAGGTATGTTATTGTATTTTGAATCTTGAAAATTAATATTGAAATCTTACAGAAATATTCTCATTCTCACATTGCACTTTATAGAGAAGATCTTCAAGATATTTTAATTAACTTGCATAACAATATCAAAAACCTAATCCAAATTTATTGCAAATAAAAAGAAAAATGTGAATATCAAACAACTAATTAGTTAATATTAACATTTCCTTAACTAACAACTAATTAGGATTTCAAAATAAATTTAAATAACTACTTAATCGTAATTCGTAACTAATATCTATATATACATTTTTGAAGTACATTTAGCAAATAAATCCTGAAGTTGAGAAGTATTTACAATGGAATGCCATTGGCATTTATTGGTAATACATTAATTAATTAATGAATTTCGGTTTAAACACCTTAAAATTGTTTTTGGAAAGATTTTTTCAGATTCTGGAATTTTTTATTTTCCGTAAACTTCAGATTCTCTAATTTGTTTCTATTGCTTTAATGCTAAATCTACAAATAATCATATTTTATAACATAAATCAAGAATATTTAGCAAATAAAAACTATAATTACCCAAAACATGTATTTTTGCGGTTTAATCTATCAAAACATGTATTATAGCTGACATTAGTACGATTATATTTTTGCGGGTTAATCTATCAAAACATGTATTATAACTTAAATTGAAGATTTTTAATATTTGTTTGTTTCAAAAATTTTAAGAGCTCGCAGATCAATAAGTAGAGCGGATAAGAATTAGCATTAATCCGATAGAGAATAAGTTAAATAGAATGTTAATGCCCTATGAAACTTCTAAATTTATAATTACAATACGAAATTACATGTACTACGGGTTATGTATAAAAATATTAAAAAAATAAATCATATAATTTTAATACTCATTTAAAATCTGTAAAAATCTAACATTACTATAATGTATAAAGAAAAGTTGGTCCCGCGGTATACCGCGGGGTAAATCCTAGTATTCACATTAATTATTTTTGATCCGAAGATATCTCTTACCAAAAAAAAAACGATACTGCCATTTTGATTTTAAGTATTAATTATTAATGCAATTTATTTTTAAAAAGAAATAGAGCCGGTTTATGCGGCAAGTAGTTAAGGAAATATGTTTAAACCGAAATATATGTATAGAAAATCTTGATGAGCAAGTATAAAATATCTTTAAAAAATCTTTGAGTCGAAAATCTATAGAATCTGCCATATAGATGTTATAGAAAAAAAAATTAAAATCATTTAGTTATGCAAGATTTCTAATTCATTGGGTGGGATTGAATGTCGAATTATTATTGTTCATTATATTTAGGAAACAAATGTGATTTAATTTCCATAAATCTTTAGCATTTTTAGGGGTGTCAAAATGGGTTAATACCCATGGGTTACCCGAACCCGCCCATGATTTTAGTGGGTTTGGGTAGTATTTTTTTACCCATATATATAAATGAGTTTTAGTGGGTTACCTTATTAGGGTTATGGGTTTAATGGGTAAAACCCATTAGAGTCATGGGTTACCCATGAGTTTCATAACCAAAACTAAAAAGTAAAATTTATATATATCTATATTGATATATTATGTAAAATTTATATAAATATATGTAAAATATCTTCTTTTCTTTACAACTATATATGTAAAATATATAAAATAACTATTAAAGTTTACATTTTACCTAAAAATAAAAGTAAAAAGTAAAATATATGTATAATATTATTTTAATTTATTTATTATTAAAAGTAAAAAGTAAAATATATGTAAAATATATGTAAAATAAAAGTAAAAAGTAAAATAACTAGATTTTTTAAATTTATTATTTAAAAACTTTTATTGGTTTACAATTTGATGTTATTTTTTTTTGATTTTTATTATTTATATATTTTATTATACATATATATGAGTACTCATATAACCCATTAAGCCAATGGATTTCTACAATAATGGGTTTGGGTATGTAAATTCAACCCATATAAATATATGGGTCGGGTCGAACCATTAAACACTCGAACCCATATGGATTTGGGTCGGGTCGGGTCGGGTTACCCATTTTGACACCCCTAAGCATTTTAATAGAAAACAATTTTATTGTCAAATATTGGTTTGTTAGAACCATATCTACGATTGATATGTGTTAACTGTGTTAACAAGAGAAAGAATGGGCGATTGTCGGGCGACGGTGACGGGTGAGCAGGATGCTATCATGACGGATATCGGGGACAGAGTGAGACCGCCGGGGGATCCACCGGATGGGAATCAGTCGTGGGTGGCCAAAGCTCGAGGGGGTTTGGGAGGTGGTATGCCAACACCAGAGAGCGTGTTGGATGATGAGTTTGTCAGATCGAGGCTGCAGTTGGAGTTCCCGAATGGAGAAGATGGTGAACCGGAGATCACAATCGGGGAGGAGGTTCTGGAGGCAATGAATGGTTTGTGAAAAAATTGTATGATAGTAAAGGTGTTGGGAAGTCAGATTCCGATCTCGGTGTTGAATCGGAAGCTGCGGGAGTTGTGGAAGCCGAAAGGTGCAATGTATGTCATGGATCTGCCTCGTCAGTTCTACATGATTCGCTTCGAGTTGGAGGAGGAACACATGATGGCACTGACAGGAGGTCCATGGAGAGTGTTTGGGAATTATCTTATGGTGCAAGATTGGTCAGCCTCCTTCGATCCGCTACGGGATGATATCGTTACAACGCCGGTGTGGGTGCGTTTGACTAACATCCCAGTGAACTACTATCATAAATTAATTCTTATGGGCATCACGAAGGGTTTGGGGAAGCCTCTGAGAGTGGATTTAACTACTTTAAATTTTGAAAGAGCTAGATTCGCGAGAGTTTGCGTGGAGGTGAATTTAGCCAAACCTTTAAAAGGATCGGTGGTAATCAATGGCGAGAGATACTATGTGGCGTATGAAGGGTTACAAAAGATCTGTTCTCAGTGTGGTTTGTATGGCCATCTAGTCCATGCATGCCCAAAGGCGGTGGCGGACAGAGATATGGTCGTGGCACAACAAAGTAAAGGGAAGGAGATTGCAGTACAAGAAAGCCAAGATGATGGATTCACGCATGTCGACCTGCCACTG